TATATATATATTCATATATGAAAAATTTTTTATCGGGATTTATATAAAAGAAATCATATTCCATTTAAAAAAGTGGAAGTAACTTTCGTGCAACCTTAAAAAATTTTTTTTTAAATTGATTTTATCTTTGTTTATCTTCCATACAACTTTGAAACATTTTTGCCTACTAAGTTCAGTTTTATATATTTCGATATTTTGTTTTAGGGTGGAATACCCTGTATATTTGTGGATCTTTCCAGTAGTATTCTTTAGTATTTAATGTTTGCTCCAACCAGGGATCAGGCATGTATTATACATGAGGTATTTTATCTTGTTATATTATATGTATAATACTATTATATTATACAGTATAATACATCGCTTAGTTTTATAGATAGATAATACAGTTTATTGACCCACAGTTAGAATACTATATTATACTCCATGTGGCACCATCTCTACATTATGTATATAATTAATTCTTAAAAAGAGATCAATCTCTACATTATCTACGCTAAAAATCAGTCCGAAATTTGCAGACAGCCAGTCAATTAATTGTATACATGATGTAATAAATGATATTTTTATACAAATAAAATTTGAAAATCGCATTTCTTTCTTATATTTAGAATATTTTCTGTTTTTTTTTTGAAGGATATATTGCAATTAGAACCACATACTTCTATAAATTACACTATACTGTTAACTTTAAGTTTGCTCGCCTTGTTTGAAAACCCTAAAAACTTTTTAACTTAAAATAAGTTAGATATATATTTGAGCGTTGAAAAAAGAGACTGCGAAGATGTTGAGGGCAAAAAATGCAAACAATGTGAACAGATCTAATGTTTATAGTTACACTCATCAGTTCTAGGAGTTGATTGCATATGTTAAAATTAAATGAAAATTATAAATTAATTAGAATACTTATAATTTTATGGGTCAACGCCTAATGAATTTATTCTTTTGTAATTTTCATCTCATTTTAAAATATATAATTGACCTCCTGGGGTGTTTAAACGCTCCCCAGGGATGCATTCCAAAATTTGATTCTATCAATGCAAATATCATTTTATCCTTGTTGTTCATCGAATATTAAACAAAAATAAAAAACACTCAGAGTTGACAGAATCAAGTTTTGAAACGCACTCAAAGTATCATAATGTTATTCTTGTTTAACATTTGGTGAATTGAAATCAGTTGCATTGGAATAAGAAACACGGTGTCGCTGACGTCATTTCGGGAACAGAAAACGCTTTATGCACATTTCTTGAACTAATAGAACCTACAATGCAATTAGATTATCTTTTCTTTCCACCTATCTTTCCTTTATCTCTTTTAAATATAAAAAAATATTTTATACATTTAAAAAATAGTGAAGATATTATTATATACACTTTTTAAACTTTAATTTCCTACATTGATTTATCAAAAAAGTGACTTTCATATGTATATAATTTGGCTGTTAATTAGATTTCTTAATACGTTCTATTGGGTGTATTATATTGATACTGAATTGGTAAAGCTGTCTTCTTTGGGTGATGTAATTTAATTTTCATAATGGCATGACCGATTTTACTGATACTATCTTGATACTCCGATTTCCAGGATGATATCTGTTTTCTGTCGATATCTTTACATATTTTTCCCAAATGTTTTATTTCGATTTTTTGTTTATGATCGCGTTCGCGTTTCGCATTTCCATTATATATCGGGAAAGATAAATGACAATATGACGGGCAATCAGTTTTTATGATTATTTTTGTTGGCATACTACATAGTTGGCATTGATCTTTTGTACCGAGGACTGTCAACTCCATATCTCGCTGTGCCATACGTGCAGCTGCTAAAATAAAAAAATAAAAATTTCTTTTAGCAACTTTTTTAGGCAACTTCATTAATAATACAAAGGCAAATTATGAACGTGACATCTATTTATTCTACAGCATTTTTATCGTACTTACCAGGATCACTGTAATCCTTTTGATACGTCGTTTTCATAAGATCAATATCTATCGGCGTAGTATCCATCGGTTTTTCCGGAAATGATTTCTCTAACCTCTCATATAAACTAGGATATCCTTCTTTAAACTTCAATTTAAAATTTAATATCCATTACATTAATTTTAATTTTTGTTATTTACATTTAAATTAAAATCTCTTTGTATGTTAATATTATATTAATTTTTCAGAACAAATTTGTCGTAAAATATAAATAGAAATTATATATACAGAGTATAACACAAAAAGGGAATCGATCCACGAATATATAACACTATTTTTGATTAAATATTTAGTCAAAATGTTTTGAGCCATTTTTTTTACAATGCTTAATGAAGCAGCTATTATCAAATAAAGCTAATTCAATTAACGCGCGCGCGGATATATGTACACTCGCACATACTATCAAGCTCACATATGCTCAAAGGACCCATCCCAGCGCCAAGAAGATTGAAGAAATATAGATTTATACTTTAATTAATGGATATATTGTTCCATGTATATAAATAGAAGTAGATTCATATTTTAAATGAATACATTATTTTATATATTATAAATTGTTTTGCTTAAAAGCGATATTTTTTTAAAATTATTTAGACAAAACAATTATAATTT